AGAGACAGCTCCTTACAAACAGAGGAGATCAAGGATAGACAGACCTCCAATCAACTAGGGAGGTCCGAGGAAAGATGGACCTCCAATCAATCAGGGAGGTCCGAAGAAAGATGGACCTCCAATCAACCAGGGAGGTCCGAAGAAAGACGGACCTCCAATCAACCAGGGAGGTCCGAAGAAAGACAGACTTTGAATCAACGAGGGGTCTCCATCCATAGCCTGGCTCAGCCTTTACGCCGACCCACACTCAGGTTGCAAACAGAGGAGTCCACGCAAAGCCAAACCTCCACACAAACATGGAGGTCCGAGGAAAGACAGACATCCATGCGACCAACCTCCACTGGTTGCATGGAGGGTCTTCATGTTGCCGTTGGCACGAAGGCCAAGCTAAGCCCGGCTCGGCCTTTACACCGACCCACACCCAGGTGGCACTAACCTAGGTCACTATACTAGCCCAGGTTTTGCCAACACTTTGCATTAGGAAAATTTGAGGCTTTGCACAAATTTGGCAAAGCCTCAAACTGTTTAACAAATATTCATCCATCAATCATCATGAATATTTGTTAAACAGTTTACAATAGAATACGAAACAGAGAATTTGTGAAAATTAATTTGGCTCTGCTACTGTCCAGAAACAACCAATCAGAACCAATTGCAGCTATGCAATTGGCAGAAAAACAACCTAACATTATATCATCATTATTTATAGAATGATTTAGAAAACAAATTCTTTACAGGCTTGTCAAAACTATTTCAACCCATATTGGAACTTTGCATTGATTTCCCTTCATAGCTGCGATTTTGCCTAACCCAGACATTTTCCTTAACCCAAACCAATACTAGTCTATTCCTAACATTAACTAAACCTTAATTCACATCTTACCTCTAAACATTACCCCTGACCCAAAGCAATGAATCCATCATATTAGGACAAGTCTTTGGTCCTAATATGGTGGACCTAATATGACACTGGACAATGGTGCATTCACACCAAACACATTTTGACCGTCAGGCGCATCTGGTTTACATTCAAACTCTATGTGGAGGCGTGTCGAGGGCCGTTGCGGCTCGTTTCGAGCATCTAGCGCCGGCGGTATTTGAACAGTTTGGAGCGCTTGATGCGTCCAGCGCATCCAATACTTCACATAGACTTTGAATATAAAGCAGACTCGCCTGACACTCAAAATGTGTTTGGTGTGAATGCACCATTAGAATGTTTAGTTCCTATGGCAACAATGATATCATCAGTGATGACATCACTCTTTGATGCATCATAGGAATCTCTCTCTTGAGTGTAGCACACAGACTGTTTTTTCAGACCTGTTCCTTATAAGTTAACTTGTAGGTTCCTGTAACTTTTAAGTTATGAATCTTCTACAGGAGGATTAAAATTATTTGAAGGCACAGAATCAGCCCAGTAGATTCACGTTCTCAGGTGAGAGACTCACCTGGTGTAAAGTTAATTTTTCGGTACTGGAATTGCACTGAGGATAAATTACTTTAATCAAAGCATGTCATGAATATATGTGCATATATTCCATATTAAGTACATAGCATAATAGTTTTTTGTTGTTGTTGCTTTTTCCACCTTTAGATGATATAACATAAACAGCACTATTCAGAGATGCAATGAGTTTATAGCAGTGGCCCTGATGCCAACATCTCCAGAAAACATATTAAAGATTGTAGCATGTGTTACACACATCAGGGCTGGTGTCGGTGTAACAGATGCTGATTTTCCTGTAAAAAGTCTAAAACAGGTAGGAGTGATGAGGCAGAAACAAATCTGTGCTTCACTAATCCTCCTGGAATCTGTTCTGGTTAAATATTTAACATTTCCAAACAGCACCATATCTGATCTTTCTTCAAAATAATCATTGTGTCCACGTTATTTTATTTGTCATTCTAGACAATATGCTTATTCCTGTAATAAACCGTTTTAGATCATTTAATACAAAGGTACAGCTTATATCACACATTTAAGTCTCAGAATAACCCCCATCTGCTACTGCATAAAAAATATACAATATATCTGGGGGGGTTTTTCTGTACACCAACATTTTCACAGAAAGACACAATATAGCTAAACAGATTCGACTCATGTAACAAAAAAACAATCTAAACATGTCAATATTACTTTCCAACAACTTCCAGAACCATTTTATTTCAAAGCTGATAACTGACAGTGTATTAAGCAATCTGTACATATAAACAGATCGCAATTCAGCTCCTGTACAGTAGGTTTATACCTCAGCTAACTAGAACCGGCGTCGCTCTTTTTCCTCCCAGCGCCCATTAGTTCAGTTGCTATGACAACGGTAAATAAAACACAAAAGTGAAAGGACTAGTAACAGAGTGTTCCACCATGTCTGTAGTTCTAAAGAGCAGCTCAGAGGGGCAGATAAAAGTTTATGTCTATTTGGAGTGGCACTGTTTTGTGTCAGACTTTTGTTTTGAGTTGAATTTGGCTTGTTTTGTGTTAATTATGTCGCCACAGTAACTCGAAATGCCAACAAAAGCAATAGCTCCCCTCACGGGATCGAGGCGCACGTTTTGATGAATATATTGTGAAGGGGACATGCAGTGGCAAGAGCCACATTAACGGTACCAGGAAGAGGCAGTTATTTTGAAGTGTAGAACAATAGGTGCCTGCCTATGCATTGCTATGGCAGGCCCCAATAAGGTGGCATCTGAAAAGTCCAGATTCTATTTGTGGAAATTCAATTAGAAGTTGCTAAATATAAGTGTACAGCACAGTTTTTACATTTTTATCTGAGAAAATATGCTTTACTGTGTACTGATGTTGTACAAAATCTCAACAAAATATATAGTTTGTTGTTGCAGCATGACAAAATGTGAAAATGTTCAAGGAGTTTGACTAGTAAGGAAGTTTTCAGCTTTAATTAGCTGAAGTCTGCTAGAGTGTGGTCAGTTCCAAGCAGAAAGTCTCAGACAAATAGAAACTAGGTTAAATCTCTGCAGTCACAATCAGCTGTGAGTTTTACTGTTGTGAAAACAACAAGAGGGTGGTATGTCACAGCTTGTCATCTGCTCTTCTTCACAGGATGGATGAACCTTGGTACCTGCTGACTTTAGATCTCTCAGCACTGTTTGCGCTGAGAGTGGTCAGTTCCAGAACCACCACCCAGATTAGCATTCAGTCTTAAAACTCAAAGACATTTTGGCTCTTGAATGAAAGCAACAAACCCACCCAGTTTTTCCACCTCACTACAAGAACTATGCCGGTGCATTATGTGATAATAGAGCCATTGGTCAAACTAAAAACTTTTTATGCAGCCATTTTGAATCTAACGGAATGGTCTCTGGTCTGCTTGGCATTCACATTCAAACCACACCAGAATTCACTTCAACCAAGCTGAGTTTGTAGGTCGACCAGAGTTCACTTTTTTGGTCTGCATCAGTTTGATTGTGCATTCATACCTCCCAAACGAACTGGACCTCCATAGGCAAATAAACTACAGTTTGATTAAAGTGGACTAAACAGGACTGGTGTAATAGAAACTATTGATAAATCTGCTAATTAACAAAGCCACGTAATCAAAACAACAAACTCTGGTTCCGCCTACAAACTTGGTTTGGTTGAAGATTAGCGTTAAGTCTTACAACTTAACTCTAAGTTAAGATTTAAGACTACACACCAAAGTATTTGAACTCTGGTGAATGCCAACTGAACTGGACACTGTTTCAAAAGCAAGAAGTAGTGGAAGAAATACTTTGTGGTCTGTTATCAAAGACAAAAGAGAAATCCTTCAAGTGCTAAAATTTAACGCCACTCTATTTTTGTTGACAGAAAGTTGTGCTCAGTGTCTTCTTCAGAGGTTTTCAAGGTTGTTTCCTTTAGTTGTTCTTGGTGCAGCACCGCCACAGGCAAGAAGGGGAAAAAGTTGCTGAAATGTTTGGTTTGTTTGATACAGTGTAGTGTGAAAGAGAACCACAGCAGCTGAAAATGTAACAAATGCTGCAGTTGTGGTGCCCCGTCAAACCGAGTCACACCTGGAAGTCACACTGGAATAGGTGCGAAAACACTGTAATAAGTCTATTGTGAACCGCTCCAGTGAACGCTAAAGGCCACGATCCGAGGAAGCTAACAGAACTGCATCATCCACAAAAAGCAACCTCCACTTGAATGCTGGGGTCCTATCCACAATTAATTTCCCCCCCTTTTTTTCTTTTTTTTATTTTTTATAATAAAAAAAAAAAAAAAAAAAGCTGTGAATTTTTGTGAGGTTGAGGCACACAACTAAATGTCTGCAGTTTAAAGATAAACCATATCAGGCCCTAAGTCTTTTTTTGTTGTTGTGCTTTTATAAAATATTCTGCATCTGCAAAATTAGTCCTAAAAGGACTCGCCACCTCCAACTGATATGGGAGGAAATAAGTTGTGTGAATGCAGCCAGCGGGACCTCAAAGGTGTGGCGCGATAAGGCAGCCATGTTTAATCTCAACCTTAAGGACTTCCTTCCAAGAAGAAATGTGAATTTAGAGCAGGAGAAACAGATAAGCTGCTTTTTTCAACAGGAATAGGAGGAGGACCCCGGCAGGACCTTAATTGCGTCCCTCCCCTTTTCCTCCCTCCTATTCTTCCTCCCTCCTCCTCTTGTCTCCTCCGGGCTGCTGGCGAACTTCTCTTCCACACCGACTCCACTTGTGTTCAGTTTGTATTTGGACTGGATAGGAGAGAGGAGCAAAGAGAAGACATGGCTTTCCTACGAGCGTTTCTGCCGCTGTTTCTTCATATCTTCCTGCTGAACCGAAGCGGTGAGTTAAACCGCATTTTAATTCCTCTTTTTATTATTTTTATTTAAAGAAAAAAGTTTAAACCAGGCAACAGACGGCGAGTTTTACTGGAAATTTAGCTGCTTTTTTTGGATGCTCTTGACATTTCTATGCGCAAACTCATGGACACCGTTCAAGTATAACTGCGTGCTAAATAATAATAATAATAATAAAAAAAATCTCGCTTTGCACTTACATTTGCAAACAGATAAGTAAGTATATCCAGCTGGTCTAGTTTTTTCTTGTTTAACTTTTAGTTTGAGCTTTTTAGACCTTAAAAAGCTCGGGGCGTTGTAAAAACCCTAAAAGGTGTAATTAATTACTGCGTAATTGATGCTGCTCATTAGCACTCCGAGTCCTGGCTTCAGCCGATAAAAGCCAGTTTAAACACTCTGACATGTGATAGGTGTTTTTAAAGGCTTGTGACCTTGTGCTCTGAAGTCTGGAGAAGTTATTAAAGCCTTAATACGCCTTGCTTTGGACCTGTAAAGAACCACTGTTCATGGCCGCAGGGCTAAAACTGAAGGACTCTGAGTGCAGTTTGGGTTTTTTTTTAGCCAGTAAATGTGATGGAAAGCTTTGTTTTACACGCAGTATGGTTATAATGTTTGTTTCTGTTCATGCCTGTTATAATTCACTTGTCGTGGGAAATAGTTGGAGGTTATCGTTTTTGTAAAAATCAAACAGTTTCTGATTTTCGTTTACTCAAATTGTTGCTTTAGTCTGCAATGGAAACATTTCTTACTGAACTAGTCTGCAGTATTAACCCATAAATAATTAAAGTAGAGCTCCACATAGCCAAGTATCTGTGCATTTGGGTTGTTTTGTATCAAGAAGTGTTGGAATCAATGGTATCAACCTTTCACAGGTTGCTGAGAAGGAATTAACTGTGATGAAAATCTAAAGTAAAAAGCACCAACAGATAAAAGTAAGAGTTGTTTACCCTCTCTTGACGTTTGTTGCATCAGGAAGTGCAGTGGAGATCGTCTCAGGGAACCATTGCTGGTGGCGTTGTCACAGCTTAGATCTGGGAATAACTTCAAACCAACCTAACTGTTCCAGTTCCAAGTTCAAAACCAGTGGGGGGCTAGTGGTGGGGGGGTCTCATTAAAATGCTCAGTGACCAGGCTTATGGGAACCTCCTCTTTCCAGACAGAAGCTGGATTTTTTTCTGTTCCCAGTTGGAAATACAACAAGAACAAAGACCAAGCAGAGTCAAAAGTGTTCACCATGCATATGAAATTTGGTGAACGTTTCAATAAGAAACTGTTTGTTTGACCTTGTCACAGTTTATTTCTGATTAAACTTGTGCTACATTGATAGGGCATTCTCTTTGTAGTTAGAAGTTAGATTTTCCCTGTTTTAAAATACAACAAGAATTTCCTCTAAAATCAGAATTCCAGCTCTAAAACAGATGGGGGTCCTCAAATATTACTGAGTTCAAAATCCAATGGCTGCCATCCATGTCAAACTAAAAATGGTCATTTATTGGCATTACTTTAAATTGCCTGTTGTCAAAATTGGAATGAAATGCCTTAGGGTTGGACGATATGGCTGAAAAACATGTCACAATATAAGCGTTTCATATTAGTCGATATCAGTAATTGTCTTTTGATAATAAATGATAAAAAAAATTTGTTTTAAATATCTAAATTACTACCAAACTGGTGGCGTGACCTTTCCTGTTTTATCCACAGCTTTCACCTCATTGCATTGTTTTCTTAGTTTTAAGGAGTTATGAGATGGTAGCAAAACCTTAAACTGCTGCTGTGCAAGTTACTCAACTGTTGTCGCTAGGTAACCAAAGAAAGATTGATGCCACCAAACTAGCTTAGCTGGCCTTTTTTATGAATCATAGTTCAGTGAATATTCTATATATTCCATCCATCCATCCATCCATCCATCCATCCATCCATCCATACATCCATCCATCCATCCATCCATCCATCCATCCATCCATCCATCCATCCATCCATCCATCCATCCATCCATCCATCCATCCATCCATCATCTTACACGCTTAACCCTAGTGGGGTCGCTATGGGTACTGGTGCCTATCTCCTGTGGTATTTTCTATGTATTGAGTATTGAATATTCTATCAGATGTATTATCAATTGATATTGATCACTTGTCTGTTGCGATAACACACCTCCTTGGTGAGTACTACAAGGTGTATAGTGGGGACAGTAAGCTCAGATATACATGCACCATTTTGTGCCCAAACAAAAGTTGGTTAGAAAAACTACAGAGGCAAAATTACCAGGACCCCAAAGGAGTATATTATTGACTTCTGTTGCTAGTAATATTACAACAATTAGCAAGTCCCAAAGAATGCTCAGTGATGGGATGTTATTCCCAGACTAAGCTGCAAAGTCTGCAAAAAGCCAATCCATAACTGCTGCAAGTAAAACAAACTGAAGACAAACTATTTCTGTGTTTTGTGTTAATCGTGGCACTGTGAGTGTTGGTCTCGATCTGAGCTGATGTTAAATGGTCAATTTTTGTGTTTTGACCAGTAAAGAAGCATTAACTTGATGTGAAAGTCCAGTTGTGATGATATGTGTCCATGTGAATGCTCGTACTCCTCCTGGTTCTGTGAAACCAGTCAGAATCTCTCTTTGTTGTTGTTTTTTTTCTTTTACAAACTCAAGCCTCATTTCCTCTAATTGCTCCGGTTCTGTATTTTTGCCTAAACTCCCTCAGTTAAGGCTGCAGCTCACTGTATCTTTATCGGATCATTCTGCAGAACATTTTACACCTTATTAATCCACAGATACTTTGAATAGAGATGTATAATCTGTCCAACTCTGTGCAGCTCAAGGTCCTGCATGCAGATGTGTTGCTTTGTCTGGAACATGCTTGAGGTATGCGAGGTATTTGGTTTGTGACTTTTTAAACAGAGAAGCCACTCGCCAACCAAACATTTCAACTCCAAATTTAGCTTATGAGGGTTTGTTGACATAATAACAGGTTAGTAACTGATGCAGACCGTAAGTGTTACGCTAAGTAGAGTTAGGATACATTCTCATCAACTCTGTTTAGTCATATTTAATCAACTCCAGTCATTTATCTAGAAAGTCCAGTTCGTATGGGGAGGTGTGAATGTGTAATTGAACTTTGTTGTGAGCTCTGGTGCACCTACAGACCTTGGTCCCTATTTGGTTGAAGTGAACTCTAGTGAGGTTCCAATGCAATTTTTCCTTTCACTCTTCAGCCACATTTAAATTATGTAGATAGAAGTTATAGCTGTATTTTCTTTGTTTTTTGGAAGGAAAAATTCCTCTGGTTGATCTAGATAAAAAAATAAAAAAATAAAAAAACTTGAGATAATAGTTACCAATGTTTTTATCTCCTTTTCCTTTAGAGGGTTAATTGGCATGGTTAGCTGGGGACAGGATCTGGGTTTGATCCAGGACTCCCTGTCGGGATTATTTCTCCTAGCTGGCCAGGGAACGTCTGGGAATGTCACAGAGGGAAGAACGTGGTAGTGGATACAGGGATTTTGTTTTAGACATAATGTTGTAAGTTATGTTTCCACATTTTTGTCCTTAACTAATTGGTAGAATCTTGTAATGATGCTGTGCTTTACCAATCACCTCATTTTCAGAGTTACTTTGTCCATGTTCTGGCTTGTTTTGTTTAATGTGAATCAATTGTTGTCAGAAGGAAATATATGCAGACTCATTTCTGAACTAAAAAAAACTTCAAAATACAAATTTTTAATGTAATCTATTACATTTTATTGGAAACTCTATATAGTAAAGTATTAAGCAGGTATTTTAAGGAAGCATTTTAAAAATATCATAGAATCTGATTCCAATTTTTGTTTCCTTTTCTCTAGAATGAACTATAATGTTATCTCTGCAAATTTGAATTTAACCTTAATATTTTCAAAATTAAATTCAATCCAAATTCAAAAATACTTGATGGATCCCAAAGGGAAATTAAATAATAGGAGGATGTAACTTTTATATAAAAAAAAGTTTTTTACGTATTCATTAAATTGTCACCATATCATGGCAGTGTAATATGAAACAGATAATCTGTGAAAGGATCAATCTCCTCCTCCCTGAGATACTATTGCCATCTGACGAAATGCACTTCCACTGACCAAAAATAACCAATCAGAGCCAGGAGGATGGTCTTAGCGCTGTCAATCAACCTCATGTCTTTGCTGTGCTAATTGCGAGGACAGAACTTACTGTTACACCTAAACCATTTATCTGCAGTCATCGGTGGCCATGCTAACTAGCATTAGCATTCACAATAAGCTCTGCTAGCTGCAGTGTATCAGAGATCAAGGGCTGGGGATGAGCAACGCCACAAGAAGGGTGATTGACAGCGTTAATATCCCAAAACAGGACCAGTTAGATTAACTGGTCTTTAAATTGTCCTTTATTTAAATGAGAAAGTATTAAACCTCCTGTCTAAACTTTTCCTACCCAAGTGGAAGCCTCCCTCTTTCTCTTTGTCTCACAACAGGACAGCACTCTCAGTCCCGCCCTGATCCCCTGTTTTTACCCAATCAGCCTCGTCTTAATTGGGTTACCTCCATTACATCCTCATCTCCCCTCTCCCTCCTCTGGAGAAGGAGTAAGCTGTCTGTTTCTAGATTAGGTCGGGGGGCCACTCACACAGACCCCGGTTCCTCCAAATAACTTTTAAATCAGGCACCGTCTGAACCGCCCTGCTCCCTAACGAACCCTGAAGGACACTTAGTCAAATACAGTTTGAGGCTAAAAGCGTTTCTCTTGTATGGAAATGAACCCAACCGGTGTGTGAGGAGAAGCCCTAACATTTAGCCATTTAGCTCAGTAGATACAGCACACATGCACACACACTCACACACATACCCGTATTGATTTCAGAGTCCAGTGTTCATCAGCATGATGGTCATGTTCTTCTGTAATAATGGGTGAGTGAGCCGGGCTGCCGTGCAGTAAATCTCTGCAGAGCTTTTATGTTGACATACACAGACAGG